GAATAATAAGAATAATAAGAATAATAATAATAATAATAATAATAATAATAATAATAATAATAATAATAATAATAATAATAATAATAATAATAATAATAATAATAATAATAATAATCAGAAGATAGGAAGGAGTGTTTATCTTTTGTAATAACTCCATGAGAAGTTTTTTGTATGAAACAAAGGTTCTGACCTCGCATAATCAGAAGTACGAGCATCACTATCAGTATTATATACGTACATAACAATGCTTCTTCTGGGGTGATGTTGACATTTTGCCATTAACATACGCAGTTATACATGCAGTCACTCCAGAGCTCTACAGCGCGTTGAATAATCGTAATTCATTTTTTTAAAGTAATGGTATAACTGGTTCGATGTTGTAAATTTGCAAATATTAATGTCATTTACTTAATGCAATGAGGGGTTTTTTTTTTTATCAATTTAATAGAAAATATTATATACAATACATTTTTTTTATTCAAGTATTAACCTGAATTCCTAATTATAACAGTATCGTAACTGCACTTTGACCTTTGGTGATGATTAGTTAGAAAATGTTTTCAATTGTTTGAATAAAGAGTTATAAATAAATGTGGATCGCTTTAAGGTCAAGCTGGGCTTCTCTCTGAATATCCTATAGTACTTCTTACAACAATACATATCAAAACAAAAAATTAAAATATAGAATGGTCTTCTGGCGCTTTCATTTTAATAAGTGAACTTTTCTTTTGTTAATTCAAATTTGTACATTATATTTCTACTAAGAAAATATAAAACAATCAAGAATGGGTTAAGAATGGCTTCTGAAGGAAGCAGTGGCGGAAAGCATTATATGCGCTCTCGTGTGGCTGTCCGCAGGTCCCAGTAGTGTCCCTTATCCGTAAAGTCCTCAATATAGCACACTGACCCGCCCAAAGAAACGTTGGTTATACATAACAGCATAATATGTCCCTGACATCGACTGTAGGATTACATTCGGTGACGGATTAAAGGTGGGGATGGCAGCCGCCCCAACACCCCCCCGCCAAGAAATGGAGATAAAAAGACAGTTATATTTCCGGCCATCTACAGGTGCCATAATCATAAATTTGCTGGCTGAGATGGTACCCTTCCTCTGTGAAAACCTTTCCCTTATCCCCCCCCCCCTTCTATTTCAAATTTCTGGATCCGCACTGGTAATATCATGTCATTTATTTTGTCGCTTAAAACATTTAGAATACAATAGCAAGTATGCTTAAAAACGAGCACATGTAAAATCCCACAACCAGGACCCCCCCCCCCCCCCCCCCCCCCCCCCCCCCCCAACCATAGGGCCATTTGCCCCAGCGTTACTCCACAGAAGAAGGATCACGTAGGGAAGAAAGGTAAAATTTTCCCCTGAGAAACATCATTTGACATTCAAATAGTTTTAATAGTTTTATTTTGTTATCTTTTAGACATTGCAATTCCACTGTGGACATTGCGCTATTGTCACAAACTCCGGCCATGTACTTAACAGCAGCGCTGGCTCAAGAATTGACAGCACAGAATGTGTATTGAGAATGAACGCTGCGCCTACCCTAGGGTTTGAAGAGGATGTTGGTAAACGCACCACAGTCAGAGTTATAGGCCATGCCAACATAGGAAAGACTCAAATTCTCGAAAGTGAAGAGCCTAAAATGGTTGTTATACCGTGGCTGTATGTAACAGATATCAACAGAGAAAAGAACGTGTATTTCAATATAGCGAAAAATCTGTCTATAAATCACACGGGTGTTGAATTCTATCTATTCAGTAAGGATAAAGTTAATATATCCGAACAAATGTTCAAAGAAGAAACGGGAATAAGTATTCGGTATGTAGGCATATTTAGTGTAATTTTTATTCAACTTTATTTAACGAGGGTGACCGTAACAACAATAATACAGTACGGTACAATACAATACAAAATATAATGCTGATTTAAAGGAGCCCTCTATTTAAAGCCTACTGAATTATTTCAACGTGAATTCTCCGCCCAAAACTTGTTAAAAAGTTCCTGTTTATGGCAAGCTAACAGGCGAATATTTTAGCAGTATTACTCGAGAACATTAAATTTAACTGTTTAAAAGTAAGCCTCGGCTATTAGAAAATTCTCTTTTAGATGCAGAGTAACGGATTCAATGGAACAGTCTTCCTCAGGAGATAGTAATGGCTTAACCATTAAATCATTTAAATCATTATTTAATCAACATTTTAGTGGGCACCGTTGTCAATTTTCTTTTTATACCTACAATGACAAATCTATTACACTTTTTTACGTTTCTTCTACTAAATGCTGCAACACTGAATTAAACACTGGGATTGGAAGGAAAACATCTTAACCACAAAGCTATATTCAACTCCACTCCAACTGTGATTGACCATTATAATATAAGCTTATGATTTTAATTCCTAGGTTCCTATTGGATAACAATTAGGCCTATACCATAAAACCTTAAATTGAGACCCAATAGGCTTAATCTCGAGAAGAAGCCCATTTCGAATTGAAGCCCCCCTCTTTTAATTAGCCTAGAAAAGAAGCCCATGGGCTTTTCAATGTAGTATAGGCTTCTTTTCGAGATAGTACAGAACATGCACTTTAATGAATTAAAAAATTAATTAATTAATTAATTAATTAATAACAAGCTCGGTTTACACAGTAGTTTAGGTGATTTAATGCCAGGTAGTACACTCCACGATACAGATTGATGTTACAGATTGATGTTATTGTTTTATAGTAGGCCTACAAATTCCCAAAATTTACAGACTTCATTTTGAAAAGAAGCTTCCTCTTTACTTTGCAAAATTAGCTTCGAAAAGAAGCTTATCTCAAAAAGAAGCCCATCTCGAAAAGTAGTCCATCCAAGCTCGCAATAAAAAAAGAATCCCATGGCTTCAATTCGAGGATTTACGGTATACTCTAATCAGTTAATTATTAAACGATTTTCGACGCCATTACACATTTATATGCGGGTTTTAGCTAACTCAGTTGTTTTGACACGTGTCACGTATTACCAAGGTATTACTGTATTTATTAATTGGCTATATATATATAGTTATACCATATGCTATATATACATAATATTTAAAATAAATTTAGATTATGTATTGGGATAGAGATGCCAAGAATTACCCTTTTCTCTATAAAAATCCAACTACAATCATTTATATTAGAGCTGTCCTTTTATTTTGCATTATTACTGAGCATTATGTAGGCCCAATATTATATTAGGCAGTATTAATAATACGGAGGCTTCACAACTTAACATGCGTCTTCTAATATCGCAGCTTTAGCAAAACAATATCTTCCTGTAAACTGGGCCAATTTATAAAGATCTGTATTTAGTTGGTAACTGTAACAGTTATCAAGACCCTTCTGGGAGAAATACTCAATATTCAAGATTCCATTTATTTTCATATACAACATAGTACAAGAAATTTGTATTCCAGAGCTAAGAATACACAAAATATATACAAAGACAACTATGAATATGAAACTATATATAAAGTGCAAAAAATATATAAATAACAGTTAAATTAATAATATACAATAGTACAGTGACAAAGGATCAAAATGAGTTGTATGCTGTAGGGGTAAGATTTGAAATATTCTTGACGGTGTAAAAAAGAGATGAGACTATCTGGTGAATAATTTTTTTATATAGATGAGAGGCGTATGGCAAAAATGAGTTTTTGCATCTATTTGTTTTCACACTAGGTTAGCCAATCCGGCCTGATCTATTAAACTGGATATACTTCTATAGTGGATGAGTATCATCAGTAATAATTGAATTCATTTTTAAAGCACATTTCTCTCACAGAGATCATTAATGCTCTCAACATCTTTGCCAATGATTAGATATTTATTTTTCTTAGTTACACTTGGCAACTAGGCGAAGGAGCAAAAACATAAAATAGATTTGATGACACTGATAAAAAAGAAAAAAAGATACGCGCAATTATAATTCAATATTTTGATCAGGAAGAGTGGACCAAACAACCAAATGTATAATTACAACAAATGTATCTACAACCTGGAGTCCCAACAGCTACCGTACCACAGATTTACAACAGAAATCAAGTAATGGATTATAAATATAATGCAATATTTTAGGTCGATTTGTCGTATAGCACAATAAAACAGGTGTAAGACTTGTAATTTAAAATTTTCTTACCTTTTAGGAAAGATGCGCATTCCTGGTTATCAACAGGATGGATGACTATGATATTTGCATTAGATGTTTGTGATCGCATTGATGTTTACGGACTTGTTCCTGAAAATCACTGCAGGTTAATGATTGTCTTTATTTTCATTATGTAGAGGGTAAGTTTTGAGTGGTTTTTATGACTCAAGTATCACACTTTAACTGGAACGGCTAAACTTTTCGTAGACACTGGGTGTGAAGGGTAAAGATTATATATTCAGAGTATGTTTTAAGATTATATAAGAGTATACTAAAAAAGTACATTTTGATAAAACAATATCTGATATTGATAGTCAATGTTGTTGTTCACAGCAAATTGACGAACTGGACTACACCGTATCATTACTACGATCTTGAGTTCAGATCAGAATGCGGCTATTATAACGTAAGCGAAACCAGCTTATTAAGTGGGCACAAGTTTCTAACGGAAAAGGCTGTATATGCAAAATTGTATCAAAAGTACAATCTCAATTTCTACCATCCAACATGGGATGCCGAGGACTTGGAAACCAGTAACAACCGTACCAATAGCACTTTCTTAGATACCCCGTATCATCGACGGTATCAACACGCTATGGAAACTGGTGAAATGAAAGAAGCTTTGCTCGAACTTGAAAAGAAAGAACACAAAGTTCAAAGAATTTCAAAGAAAACACTGAGTTTGAAAGAGGCACTGATAAAACGAAATAAAGCTATGATTCAAAAGGCATGGACAAGGATCAAATTATGAAAGCACGGAGACGAACCGCAAAGGCTGCACCTAAGAGTGGAAATTCACCGGAACAAAATAGCACATTGCAAGTATGCAGTGATCAGAAAAATAATCAATCTACAGGGTATTAAGAGAATTCAGAAACATAAACACTGGTAGATAATCTTCCTTATGATCGTGACAACCAAAACAGAAAGAACCTAGTATTTTGCATATTATGTCCATCGATTATATGCTGGGTCACCAATATAAGTGCTTATTGGCAGGAGGGGGGACAGATGGTGGTCTTGAGGACGATTTCAGCAGCACTTATTTGTTACAAGTTACCCTGCTGTCGTATCAGATAGTAGGCCTATAGCACAAAAGAGTTCGTCGACTGCAGATATCACAGGGATTTCGGACCCCTGTAATTCGTCCTCAGGCTTATCCATAGTGAATTCCTCGCAAACGTTACGTACCCTGCCAAGCCGTGCCTTCCGTCAGAGATGGCTCTCATGTACTGTCATCCTTTTTTAACGATAGCGTTTAACCATAGTATAACAATCTACCTTATAGAAAGGTTATATACTATTACATATGCATTAACATTTACCATTATATCATAATTCACCCCTTTCTTCCTAATTGTTGTAATTATCGATATAACTATACATTATAATGATAATATAATGTACAAGCATTTTTAACCAATATCAAAATAAATTATCAAAGGCCTAGAGGTATACAGTGGGCAGAGTGTACAAACAAAAAACGATAATGGTGGACAGAAAAAAAGATATGGTTTTTTTTTTAGTTCCAGAGTAAAAACTCTTTTATTTGCAGACCGAAGACGAGAATTTGGGACATAGAGATTGGGCGCCTAGGCCCTATACTCGTATTTTTAAGGAAATATTTACATCTGAAACAAATCAAATCGTTATGTATACGGTGTAGGTGCATCTTTAGGATAGCTACCATGTATTTTTATTTTATGAGTACGGTGCAGTGCATATTAAACTATTTAACGTCAACAATTACATTTAAAAATAACATTACATTTGGAACCAGTTATACAGTGTCAGCCGCCAAAATAGAAACAATTAAATAAAAATAGATTTTTCAAAATCGAATTAGGCCTACTCATTTAAAAAGCCAAATAAATTATTCTTTTAAAATATATAGTTGTAAATAATTTGCGCACGGTTTCTTATATCAATTGTCGTAATATAATAATAATAATAATAATAATAAGACATTTTTAAAGCGCGCTAATGCATGCACAAGGCGGCCTCTAGGCGCTATAAAATACATAATAACAAGCAAATATTTTAAACAAGGGAATAGCATACATTAAATAGAAAAATTTTTTTTTTTTTTTTTAACATTAATACATTTAAAAGGTTCCAATTCTACGAAAGTTAAAAAGCACGGTGAGTGATACATTAAAAGCCAATGATAAAATATTGCCGGAAAAGGACGGTTTTTATAGCAGATTTAAACGCTCCAACCGATGTTATACATCTGACGTTGTCAGGCATAGAGTTCCATAGTGTCGGGCCGTAAACAGCAAATACTCGAGCACCAAAGGTGGTAGTCCTTGGGATTCCAGATGGTCGTTCGAGTAGATTCTGTGACGAAGAACGTAGTGTTCGTACCGGCTTATAGCGTTTGACAAAGCATGTAAGGTAAGATGGTCCCATGTCGTGCAGACATTTAAACACAAGCAACAAGATCTTGTACTTGATGCGCTGGCAAACGGGCAACCAGTGTAATTCCGCAAGAATTGGAGTGATGTGATCGCAGCGTTTAGTGCGTGTTATTAATCTGGCTGCGGCATTTTGGAGTCGTTGAAGACGATTGATGTAATTTGGGTTATGATTCAACATAATGTTTTTTGGGGACTTATACAGTAATTCCAATGTTTAAGCGATCTGAAAATTTGCAATGATATGTGTGTGGGACACGTTCAAATGCTGCCATTAAAAAAACTAATATTACTAATTAGGAATTAGTTTGATAGCTTCATCGGGCCTAACCTAGGCCCGACCTCACTGTAGCCGGCACCTGGGCCGCTTTCAGGCAGCCTCTCTAGCCTCTAGACCAGTAGACTAGACTGGAATCATTAAAGAAATGTTAATAATTGAGCATGAATTAATTGATTGACAGTTACATTATCGATTAAGATAGGACATGAACAAGGCAAAAATGTATGAGCACAATTAATCACCATAGACTTTTATGTTAAAATGAAAGTATAGGCCCACGTATTATTAGGGCCTAGGCCTAAATTCTCGCATTTTTATTGCTTCTGAATTGAATAAATATACCTCAATGTAGGTCATCATTACGTTATTAAGTTTTTTTTAAAAACCTTTTTTTAAAAATAATATCCCGAAAATATATCAACCCTTCCCCACACACCTACCCACCCACCGTCTACCCTCAACACGATCAATGCATCCACATTACCCCAACTATTCTACATTCCGATGATTAGCCCAATTATGCTGGTCACGCATAAACATTCTATTTTATGTGTTTGCTATGTAAAATTGTGTGTATAATAGTGTATGCCCATTGTGCATAACCACACAAACACACACGGAAATGGCCTATTTTATTTTTTTTTTTTTTGTCTTTTGTGGGGTTATCCCACTTTTATTACTTCTCACATTTCATCACTACATAATTTACAATTACAAGGTTTTATGTGGTACCGTGAAATATCCAATATGAGTATTTACAGAGATAAGAATCATTTTTCTTTAAAACGGGTTAGTCCATCTTGATGGCCAACTATTATTTCTTTATAGTTATTTTCATAGTAACGTACGACATACATATTTAAATATATGTTTTCAATGCGTTCCTTTTATATGTATATTTTTCTGATTATATTCTACTAACCTTTTTTAATATAAATAATATACTGTACATACATACATATACATTGTACTCGCATACATGCCAGAATGACAAGTAGCTTAAGTGGCCTATTTTTTTTAAATAAATAAAATAAGGTCTAAATAACTTTTTTTTTGTAAAATTACAGTAGTAGAAAAACAAATGAATAATAATATTTTAATAAATAATAATTCTAGTTCTATTTTTTATATCTACTTTTAAAATTTCATATATAAGTAATCATTCGTTTTTGTTTTTTTATATCTATTTTTATGTAATGTACCTATCTGACTAATTTTGAATGTACATGTCCTTGTTTTATATATGAATGTGTTTAATTGTTTTGACAAATATTGTAATATCCAATCTATTGATTGCAATAAAGATGAATTTGAATTACTAATTAAATACGACTTGGAGACACCAGACAATATTGACGAATAGTATTTACATTTTATATTTAAAGAAGGAATACAAAATTGTAAAATCAATATTGATGAAAAAAAAATTAATTTTACAGTTCTTTGTGAAATTTTCTTTTCTTTTTAAATTTTCTATTTTATTGTGTTTGCTATATAAAATTGTGTGTATAATAGTTTATGCCCATTGTGCATAACCACACACACACACACACCCACAGTTATTAATAATTTCTTTGAAAATGACTACTGAGCAAGTGAAAACAGAATTTTAAAATAATTGCGGTAGGCCTACACTTCAAAAGAATACTATATGGATACATAAACTTATTTCAATTTGCACGAACCTTACGTACGGGTTAAATAGCAAACCGCTTCGTGTGGCCTTGATCTAGGGATGCCAATTCTTTAAATTTTCTGACTTTACCTAAAAAGGCAATTAGGTAATGGGGTGTGGCAGCGAAGGTGTTAAATCCATTTTTAGCTAAATACGCTATATTGAACGCCGTAAGTACTGCATTCCCGATTGCCGTGTATCCAAGTACCAAAATGTTTGTTAAGTCTACGGCAGTCGTGTATATATTTACTATTTGAGGCGTAACATTCTCTGCATAATTTTACTCCAGCCAACGGCATAATAATGACATTTTAGACTCCTTTAGCATCTAGCATATGTGCTAGGAAATTTTTGAAAATTTAGCATATTATTGTCCTAAGAAGAAAAATACAGTTCTCCCTCCAATTAAAGACCCTTCCAATTAAATACCGGGTGTGAGGCTAGTTTAAAGCTGTTCAATTCGCTAAATTATCAGAGATTCCTGTCCAGGAGGAGAGTCCTGCGATACCACTAACTTCCCACTTCCTCCTGTCAGAAAGATCAGAAGTTTCCCTTCCCACCTCTCCCGACCTCTATTATCTATCTAGGAGCGGGGCGAGTGTTTTTGGGGTATCTCAGGCCTAAGCCTTTTACTTCGAAATTCGTATAGTAAAAGGGTGTTTGTGGCGAGCCTCTAGCTAGACTAGTGTCCCAGTCCCAGGGTATCGTCAAAATAACATGTAGTATATAATAACAGAAATTCATACGGTAACTGAAACAGAAATTTTTCATAGGTAGGCAGCACTACGCTATAGTACTAATACTGAGGCCTATTTAATACACTATTTACATAGGCTCTTCTATTCCCATCATGAATTGAAAGGTAGAAAAAAAAATCATTTTTTCCAAATAATACAGTGTGTAGAATAGCTTTTTTTCAGAATATTTCCAGCAAAAAATAATTTAACACGACCCTTCGTTATGGAGTAATGATTTTTTAAATAACATGACGTCAAGAATTCAGCCTCATTTGTCGACAAGACAAGATCTACGAATAGATACTTTTTATAAATAAATCATTATATAATAGAGATAAACTCTAAACCGTCTTGCGGTAATGCAAAAATAATTTTGAATATTTTATATATATTTATAAGTCCCAACAGTGTGTCAAACACCAAAAACAGGGTCGCCATAAAAATATAAGGGGATAAAAAAATATATTAATAGGATTTTAAAAATACATAAAATAGCATAAAATTCAGTTTTACATATCAAATATTAAGGATTAAATTAAGGGGAGAAAAATTACAATTAAAAATATCGATATTAGGAAATATTTGAAATAAATCATTGTACGAAAAAGCAAAACGACGAAAAATACCATTTTTACGAACATTAACAAGGGAATGCTGAACTTTTAACATATGATTAAAACGAAGCTTACGCACAGGAACATGTAAATCAAAATTAGACACAAGGTTACAATTTAAACATTTAAAAAGAAAAATAAGATCATTTCTTTTGCGTCTAGTTAATGGTAGAAATTGTTCACAGCTATATACATGTCTCTTATACACATCTAGATAGAATTCCATCACCAGAAGCCTTTGTCTATTTACTTGACACAACGAATTGTCCTGGACCTATGCGAGCAAAGTTTGAATTTATCAAGCGTGAATAAGACAATCATTGTATTTGTTCTTATTATGATAATAATATTATATGCACACGTTGATCAATATCGATTTGGGTTTGAACAGTCAGCATTGGGAAACAAAACGAAAAAAGTTCGAATACAAACAAAGAAAATAACTAGGCTTAGCGTTTGATTTATCATTAAGCCTACTCATCATTTAGTCTAAAATTCTGATTTTGTTTGAAACTTCATCTGGAAAAGGGACAAGGTTGTACACTGCGTTCTATTTTTTAACGGTATCTTACCAGGGATGGACCGGGCGGTGGACCCGATGAGCCAACAAAAGCATATCGTATCCCTACAACTGAACGGAATCGAAGTAGTGACTCCAATTGTCGACGAACTCAAACTAGCGTCTACAGGTAAAAAATCAACTAAATATGTATTTAATAATATATATGTAGGCCTATATATATGTGTATTTATTATATATCTATATAATTATATATATATATATATATAAGGAGATGGGATACATTTTAAATTATTTAATCTTGTATCGGATAAATAGTGAATCACTTAAATTCATATTTAGATTTATACCTCCATGTTTAGATTGATGTTTTTTTATATTCCTTCATTTACGTAATTTGAATAAACAGTTTGGCCCTGTGGTTTTCCTTCATACACCTAAAGCTAGCTCAAGCTAGAAAAGGCTCGTGTTTCAATAAATTCCGTTAAGGCCACCTCAGACAGCGTCGGCCGACGCAGCCGGACCCGATTTATCGTCGGGGACAGTCTTAAGCCGTCGTGAGAAATATTAAACACGTTTAATATTCTACTACGCGACTGCCCCCGACGCACACTATCGCGTCTGCGTTCAACTCACACAGACCCGACGCGACAACAAATCGCGTCGGGCTGCGTGTACTTATTTCATATGTATTAATTATTTAGATGATACATTATCGTAGCCCTTAATGATCTTATGCCCTGTATTTTTAATAGCGGTTGTCGAACACTTCAGATGTACATTGTCGGGGAAAAGATTTCCCCATGGTTTTCCGCGAACGAAACAGTTGAACTTTCCTTGAAAAATATAGTAGGCCTATGTGTTTCCCGGCGACGACTATGCGAGAGAGTTTACTCCATTTCATGCCGTCGGGAAACACACGGTAGATTCCAATTTTAATTGTCCATCCATTAATATCTAAAAATAATTTGGGCCCCTTCCTCCCTTTGTTAGAAAATTTGCACCATCCTTGCGCTATTGTGTAAAAAAAGGTGATTGCAAATGCAGTGATTCCAAATAGAATGTTGAGAATAACAAGAATGTGAAAATTATGAAAAAGACGCTTAAGCTATCAGCTACATAATTAGAAATGTTTTCTTGGAAATTTTCTATTCAGGTACCTCAACCTTTGTCATCGCCATAGCAGCTTTTGTTTTCTCTCTTGTTGTTTTAATGTTCTTCTCTATAGTAGTATTACTACTTAAGGAAAGGTGAGTACGTCAATCAGTTTCATTTTTAACCAACAAATGGTCTATTATTGCATTTGTTTGAGTTATTATTATTTGTATCCAAGTTCCTAATCAACCAATCAATCAATAATCAATCAGTGGCAGTGGCAGCGGAAGGTCCAGGTAGGCATGCGCAGATCCGTCGGGGAAGGGGGCCAATCCTTTTGTGATCTGAAAACACTGCTTTGGAAAAGCATTTTACAGTATGAAAGTGCCATTTCCGGTAATCTAGCAGTGCCTATTCTTTAACAATTTTAATTAGAAACTTCAATCAGAAGCGAGTCCTCATTAAGAGCTTCAAAGTGCTGGTAAACAAAGCGGCGCTGCTGGTTTCTTGTGCTTATTATTATTATTATTATTATTATTATTATTATTATTATTATTATTATTATTATTATTATTATTATTATTGTTATTGTTGTTGTTGTTGTTGTTGCTGCTGTTGTTGCTGTTGCTGTTGTTGTTGCTGTTGTTGTTGTTGTGGTTTCTTCTGCTTATTATTATTATTATTATTATTATTATTATTATTAATATTATTATTATTATTATTATTATTATTATTCATGCTGGGACTGGAAGGATCTTGGATCCATCGTCGAAGAGTGTCTCCGGTGCCTACATTGGCCTATGTAGTGTAGTTAGATTTAAATAGCGCTTTACACTAAAACGGTCTCAAAGAGCTCGCAGGTGCGGATCCAGTGGGGCAGAGGAAGAAAAAAATTGAGAAGAGTTAAAAGGAGGAAAGAGGGAAAGAAGGAAGTGTAAGCATGAGTTCAATAGCGGATCCTGCAGTGCAGAACACAACGCTATATCCCTCATGCCGATTTTTTCCAACGATTTCATAAATCAGGATGTAAAAAAGGGCAAAATACGGAGACCTAAGACGGAGTTTTTAGCCATTAATAGGGAATGTAGTACCCAGCTACAACATCTATACATGCTCAGTTGTAACGCCCATGCGCTCTAGTGTGGCGGTCCGCAGGGCCACCGACCCTTAGGGGCCCCTTCGGTTCCCCTACCTATAGAGTCGTCGCTCTATAGCACCCTGATCCAAAATGGCTTTTTGATACATAACAGCATAATGTGTCTCCGACATCGACTGTATAGACATATATATTAACCCAGTGGGGTTTGCATTGCGACTCCCACTATAGAATGGATTATAGGTCCTTGATTAGACCTTTGCGACGCCCGCGAAAGGAGGGGTGTCTGGGGGGGGGGGGAAGGGGAACATATCTCCCATCAATAATGTTGTCGAGGAGGAAGACTCATGCTTTGAAAAAGCATTTTTACCATCTCAAAGTGCCATATCCGAGCGTCCAGAGGGGCCTATTCTTAAAATCTGCTCATCTCGGGTGGGTGTGTACTACCTATTGCCCCACCCCCTCCGTCAGATAACTGTCTGGATCCTCCTCTGGCTCGAGGGGTGGACTGCCTCTTACTGTAACTTGCTTCTCTCGTTCGTGTCTGAGGTACTCAGTAAACCGGTACCAGGTACTCTCGTCTGTCCACAGCCAGGCTGAATGAACCAGTACACTGG